ATACACATGCAGTGAAGATAGTACTCCCGTAGGAATTACCACTTTTTTATAAAATTGTTGGGAATTAATAACCAACACGCTCAACCATCTACAATAAAAACAAAATCTCGTATAATTTAAGAGGGAACTCTTAGAAGCATACATCTTAAAGTCGCTGTAATACTAGATACTCTGAAGCCGAAACATATATCAATAAACGCACGTGTAAACTATGACTTTACACGAAGCGGGCCATTTTAGTTACAGGCCACATCATTAGAACCGCTCTGCAGCCTAAAATTAATTGTTCAACAACATAGCATTTCAGGTGTTCCTCGTTTTAATAATAGCCGCCTCGGTGGCGCCCAGGCTAAATTGCCGGCCGACGGATTCCCAGGTGGCAGGTTCGAATCACGGCCGAGGAAGCAGCAATCCGAAGCGGGCTTATTTCGGGGAAGGCGCCGTGCAGTCCAGATTTTGGTCGCACGTCCAAATATCCTCAGCTGGTCGAAATTAGTCCTTATAGTCCTCCACTGGTTCGTACCAGATATCTTTCGTTGCTTCGGCACGTAAAATCCCACAATTTTATTTTATCATTTTGGACATATTTTACAAGAACTATCTAGAACTTCTTCGCCACTGTTTTCAAGAATCACCGATTGCACGCAGCCCTACAAAACAAAAATTATATTTGTTTTGATCACTAGTATCAAAGTGAGGTGCACATAATGATTCGTTCATGGAGTTTGCATGGTGACGCATTATATTACATAATAATATTTATCCACTTTTATTAAAAATATCCAAACTTGACATGATGTGGCGGTAGCATGTAGATACCTTTTTGATACCCGTGTGTTCATAATATACATATGCTATAACAACATTTACTCTGTAAGCTTTGTCTATAAAGACAATGAAAATCCCTGCTTTTCGATGCGTAAGCCTTCGCGTTGTCAAGAACCACACGTTTCCAAGAAAGACACTTTTTCATTCATTTTGTATATCTCCAAATCTACTTCAAATAAATTTTAAAGCTATTATTGCGTTAGCACGTGGAATATAGTGCTCGTTTGCACGAATTCATATAAAGCCCTCTTCAAAGCCGCATCTATGAACACTCTCATATAACCAACTCTGCGCGGCTCTTTGCTTTGTGAAACCGCGCCATTATTTTGCGAATGAGGTATCGGCAGAGTTCCACGATACTCAACACCGGAAGTAATCATATTACTTGTAAGCGACTACACTTTGGAGTACTTTTGTAATTATATCAATACATTCGTTAGGAAGTACTAAAATTCCTGGTAACCATTCCTATTCTTCTCTGCTCTTTCATTCTCTTACGTCATTCTTCCTGCTGCTGCAGTTCCGTCTTTTCATACGACGCAGATTGCTTTATGCGAAGCTGTAAACAACCTTTTCTTTCTTTTTTGAAATTCTTTATGATTTATACGACATTCAAGCTTCTTTATTCTTTCTCCATCCGAGAGGAAATGCAGTTGTCCATAACCCTCGCATTATAGTGAGCATTATATGTTCTTTCTTTGCTGAACCGTGGGGACGTTGTTGGCATTTATCATTGCAGGGCCCTTTTCGAGGTATGGACTATACTCCATGAATAAACGTTAATTTCTTCAAGATTCACAGTTATGAAGCGACCTTTACCTCACTAAGGTCAAATAATTGAAGCTGTTGGTACAAAGGCAACGTGTTTTGAGATATTCATCGATTCGTTTCCGTGTTTATATATCGCGATTCCAAATCCGGAGGCTCACTGCTAGATATGAGGATTTTGGAGAGGTCTCTAGTGTAGAGAATTACGTTTACCGTACTGACGGCTAGCCCATGGTTAGCTCAGCTAATAGAGAGGTCCCGAAATTGATTCCCGGGCCGGGTGGTTCTTTTAGTGGCCACCAGTCGCCCAGGAATGTTCAAGTTGTGCTTAATCTCAGATTGTGATTAATTTAGTTTTGAGTAAAATTGGAAGAGGGAAAAAGCGTGACAAGTCCTCCAAGCAAAGCCGCTTAGAAGTGTGACATATTCGTTCACATTAAATCGTGACTATCTAGGCAGCGTGTCTTTGATTGATGCGCCCATAGAACACTTTTGATATACCGATGAGGTGCCTGAGACCAGTACGTCACTCGTCTACTAGCAATCTTGGAAAGAGCTCGCGGTGCTTATGCTGCATCGAGTTTCGAAATCGAGCGATAAATACTCTAAATCTGATCGATAAGAATCTCCAAGCCCGCCTGTCAACGAAATATTTTTTGTATGTTTAGCCTCTAATAGTAAATGCTGTTAATGCTGCAATTTCACCATCGGCAATCAAGCTATCAAAGAAATAGATAATTAACAAATTAAAAAAAAAAATTACTTCATTGTCAGCGACGGTTATCTTTCCCCACAAGATACGCCGAGGTCAATACGGATGCAGTAAAGATGGTGCTCACGCAGCAATTAGCACTTTCTTTTTAAGCTTGTTCGGATTAAGAACAAACACCTCGTACAATTCAAAAGGGAAATTTTAGTTAGAGGTCTGGACCGTTTTTCTGCTTCCGCTACACTCTTCGCAGCTGAGACGCCGCTACTGCGCATGCGCGCCGCTAGCATTATTCTTAAAGTTCCGAATTTCGTAGCAGGTTGTTGCGAGCGTTGTGGCACGGCAAAAACGATCTGCAAAAACTTTTTAATGACCACATAACAATACATACCAGTCTGAATCTTGACACTCAGCAGAACAATCTGGCCACCCTTTCACGCGAGGACACGCAGCGTGTTGGGTGGATAGACGGACAAAAAATTCCTTTTAATCGGGAGATGTCTTGAGCCATCTAGATCCGGGGCCCAGCCCAAGGCGCTGTGAGGCGCAACGGGTTAGCGGACAGGCCGGCTTCTATTATGATGAAAATAATCCCTGGAGAAGGGGAACAAGAGGGACAAGGGACAAACATAAATCTCCAAACACAGCTAGGTGACTGGCGAGCGACCGAAAAAATCCGCCTGGTCCGGGTATCGAACCCGGGACCTCTCCATTACAAGTGGAGCGCTCTACCAACTGAGCTAACCAGGGGTTAGACGTCAGTAGAGCAAACGGGTTTTATCAGTCGCCACCAGTCTAACACCAACAAGGGTGGTTGTTATTTGTAATTTGCCCTTATTAATTTTAATAACATTCACTTCATTAACATTAAAACCTAAAGTGAAGGTTTCGTGTTCACTTAGAAAATTGATGTTCACGACGTTCTGCGAAACATCGAATCAGGGGCTTTCAAACATATGGAAAAACTTAGGCCGATGAATAGATCATAAAAGTCAGTTAGCTATAAATGCTTTCTTCAGGGCGGAACTCACACACTTGGAATGTTGAACACATTCAGGAAAGATCTACTACCCTAACAGATATTTGAACACGTTGTGGGAACCAAAGTGTTCCCTATATCCCTATGTACAGGCCGTGGGAGTCGTCGTCACCAATGGCGTCGGCCTCCCGGATACGAGGAACCGAGGCCGAATTCCCCGAAGGGGCCGGAACTCCCTTGCCCACTTTGGGTGAATGTGCCACCGGCGCACCCTCGAGAGTTATAGTGGACGCGACAGCTAGCGGCCTCCCCGGGCCCGTCCATTTTCCGAGGCTACATGAGCTGGCCCCGAAGGAGGGCCGGTGACTCTCGTCGGCGAACGCCCTGGCTCTACGGAGCTCGGTTTTTCTTCGTGGGCCTCCGACTTCAAGTGAATCTGTCTATTGCGGCAGTGAGGGGAACCGTCCGGGTGATACTGGCGATTGAGCCAGCGCCCACAGTTTTCCTGTCTAAGAGCGAAGCGTGTTGGCATTTCAGTCAATAAACACGTCGAAAACGGACTCACTGTATTGGTGTGGATTTACTACGGTTGATCGAATGCCATCTCATCGAATTACGTTTTAGAGAATGGGCACGTTTTATCGAAGCACGGTTTAGAGAAAGCAGAGCCTCAGTTTAGAAAAACGCCGTTTACCGAAAAAAGGACGATTTAAAAAAAAAAAAAGGCTTTCCTACTTCTCGCGTGTATCAATGGTGCGCGTGTTAAGCCACGCTGCGCTCCCGCTGCTTCGCGGCGACAGTCTGCGACGGCTCATTACAAAAATGTTAACTCACCTCATTTACCCGTACACGCCGCTACGCGGCCGCCGAATTCGCTAAAAGGAGGCTCGTCGCCATTTTCTTTAAAGTGGGTTCTCTATAAAGGCATTCGATAAACCGGGGTCGGTAAAACGGCGTTCGCTAAAACGAGCTTCTTTAAACCGCATGCCTCCGGTTGGGGGTTGTCTCTCGTCGACCGGCGCCCAAAAAGGGATTAAATGTACAAAATCTCACAACGTGCATCAATTCGTTTGTTATCTGAACATTGATGGGACATTTTGAGGTTCAATTAAAAGTGATAGTATTTTGTGAAAATTTGCTTTTTTTTTACGTAAAAATAGTATTTATGTAAACTGTCTGAAGATATTTGTGCTTTTGAAAGAGGAATTAAAAGAAAATCAGCGCGTCGACTAGAAAACAACTACTATAGTCCTGAACAACCAAGAGACGCGCCAATTACCGTAGGAAATCATTTGAATTCATTCCTGACGCCATTTTAATCTGCAGGGATAGATAATATGCTTGCCGTCACCTCAAAAGAACAAGTGTCATATTGCTTACAACTTGTGCAAAGTAATTTCCATATTGTGAAGGTATTTCAGATTGGCATAAAAGTATCTTTAAATCATGAAACAATGTTCTGTTAGAACCCACGCTTTTTTGCTAAAGTTCATGAGTTCAAAAGACGTGTTCTTTTAGTTTGTAAACATCACAAAGGGAAGGCTCATGTCCGGTATTGCGGGAAGGTGTGGCTGGCGCATTTTCGGTTTTTTAATCTGAATTGTTTGCATTTCCAGCTGTTGCTAGGTTTTTGTAACTTTTGTTTTTGTTAAGAGTTGGAGCCTTTATAATTCAAGCCTGACAAGAAAACTCTTCAGTGCCATCAATAGGAACGCCATGATCTCGACAAGATTTTTGCTTGTGTTTGCGACGCTGGAGATGGCATGCATTGCGGGTAAATATCATGGTTGAATAACTCATTTTGATCATATTATTTACAAGCTTAATCTAGATTGAAACGCCCGTCACTTAACACGTTTGCGTTAGTGCCAACCTTGAGCTAATGACAGTAAACTCCTTCATGCACTGTGTTTCTCCTAGAAAACGCAAAGTAGACGCATACCGGCGCACTCTAAAAAAAAAAAAGGCAGCAGTATTTAATACGTAAGAGCTAGAAACCGCCTGTCACATATGTTACTTGGTACCTAGTAACCGTAGGTAGTAACGGATACTAGATAAAGAATCGAACTGTTACTAGCTCCAAAGTATAACCCGTGTATTTTACTACTTCTAACTAGAAACTCGTGCTACCTCCCGATAGAAGACCGGAAGCGCAACGAGTCACGTGATTTTTGGTGAAAAAAAGGCATGTGGTTATGCCACTTATCATCAGATGGCAGGCCTAACAAAAGTAAAACTTGAAACGAGTAATACAGGTGGCGCTAGTCCTCGTCCCATCAAAAGTACACAAAATAATGAAAGACGTTTTCACATTTCTGTAATGCTAAAATAGAGCGCAGCTGATGATATTTTTTGATTTCGCGATTTACCATGCTCAAGTATTTAGCGAAGTAATCTCTATAGGTACAAATGTGGACCTCGTACTCCTGCGTACATAATAAGAATTATATACATATATATATATATATATATATATATATATAGTTAAAGTAAGGTAAATATAAAAACAATGGACCGGGAAAAGTTAATAAGTCAAAGATGCGTACTGTCGGAGTTTCTATAATTCGAAGTTTATTACGACGTTTCTAGCGGGGACCGCTCTTCATCAGGGGTATACATATACATATATATATATATATATATATAGAGAGAGAGAGAGAGGGAGATAGGCACATAAAATATATCGCAGTCAGGTCTTAGAAAGTCTGCACCAGAAAAGCCGCCTTCGGGACCTTGATTTGTGAATCAATTCATCGGTGAATCCAAAACGAAGGTATTAGGTATTAAAGTTCGTCCTTAGATATCTCAATTTGACTGTCCTCGGTTCTCGTCTTCAGGAAAAAAAACCTCCTGCAAACGACACCGAGGCGTGTCCACAGTGAATCAATAAACGTTCCTTCAATCCCTTTCAAATGGGTGCTAAGTTACACAGCACATGGTAGGGCAGTGCCTGCTAACACTAAGTGACTTTTAGGCTTCCTATATGTAGAGAATGTTTTAACACGAAAAAAAAACTATTTTGATTTTGTTTACAGGGGGAAACACGGGTTTGCCGCATGGCTGTAGACCAATATCCGGAGACAGCTTCAAAAACCGTGGTCAAACTACAACGGAGCGTCCGCCTAGTCTAGCAGATACCCTTGGGAAGATTTGCGAACTTCGTCTTCATAAATCTGAACAAAATATAACATGCATTGGAGATGTAAGTGTCAATGCATACTTAGTTCACGGGCGCGGTATCACTGCCGCTTTGCTGCGTCATGTCGCTTTTTCAAAAGATGCATAGAAGTCAGTGCTGGGCAGAGATACTTCAAAAAATATTTGGGAATACAAATACTGAGATACATGTGTTTAAGGCCCAAAACACAGAGACTGAGATACATTTGTCTTTTATGCAAGGGGATACCCTCAAAGTCTTGTGAATTTGAGGGTATCTCATCCTAAGGAGATTGGACATAAGGGCCTTACTTCTTCTCCACTCAGCTCCTTTAGAGAATTCGCTCTGCTAGATTGGAAAGAGTTGCGAGCTTTGTGAGAGGAGCTCATTATCTTGTTTTTGCAAGTAACCTTTTTTAAAGCACAGTTGTTGTTTTTTTTAATGTTGGTGACCGAGATGAATCATGTTATTGGGCGGTTCGTATTATAAATTCCAAAGCAACTTGCACCAAACAGATACTTTTATCTTCTAAATTGATTTTAAAATGTGCAAAAATGTAACGAGATACCTAAGTCTTGCAAAGTATCGCGGTACAACCGATACATTGTGAATGTATTTCGCTACTGAGATAAAAATACTTTTTTTTAAATGTGTTGATTTGGATACAGAGATACAGATACTCGAAGGTATTTCTAAGACACAATCGCGAAACATTTGTGTCGCGATACTGTTAGGTTCCCTCAACTTGCCAGTAGAGAAGCGGCTCAGCGGTACCGAGGAGTCACATGACAGTGGCTATTGACGCCGCGCATCACCGGTTGTTCTTGTTTCTCTAAAAGGGGCGTCCAAAAAGGATACTTCAGAACGCCTGAAGCAACACTTCACCGCCAAGGGAAGTAAAGGTTCAAGTCCGGCAGTCCTTCTGTCTGGAAATACGCCAGAAAAGCATCACGGCTTTCGTCTTCACCTCCTCTGCTTTTCTGTGTAGTCGGTGCTCGTCGGACTCGACGTCACACGGGACCTGCCAATGTTGTGTCCGTTGCTCGTCCATCCACTCTGAGAAATGCCTGCGCGTCTACTTACCCGCAAAACACTTAAAGACCCAATCTCTGCGAGTTAGGAAATTAGCACAGCGAATGATGAGGCGGAACATCTGTTTAGACCTAAAAATGAAGTCTGCGCTGTTTGCATTATGCAATGCAAAGCGTCAAGTTGCATTGCGTAATGCCACAGCGCGGACCTAATTTTGATGTCTAAACAGATGTTCCGCCTCATCATTCGCTGAGCTGATTTCGTAGATCACAGAAATTTGCTCTTAGCATTTTGCGGGTAAGTAGACACGCAGGCATTTCTTAGAGCGTATGTTCTGACGGGGCTCGCGACCTCGCCATCCTCACAAGCGCCGTCACCACGGCAGTGGAGGTACTGTGCAATTGACTGGCCGCCAACAGAGCGCGTGATCGGCTGTCCGGACTCATATGATGAGCGTGATCTAGGGCTCCGTGAAGGGCAGACGCGGACATTGGCGGAGGGAAGCTTTCCCCCCATGAGAGGAACACGGACGGAATTGGACCGACGCACGCCATATAGCAGAGTTGTCTGGCTCCACGCTTTCCGAAGTCTCCAGTTTGGATAGCCCTTATGAAGGGGTAGTGACACGATATTAATGTTGAGAGAATTGGCAGTTCTTATTTTTCATATTGTTTATCCAAAAACAAGTTAACAAAGACACATGACCTTGCCATAAAATCTGTAATTCCGCTGCGTAATCGTAAAAACAAAAACAAAAAAAAACGAATTATTTGTTTATAAGCAGACGCGTGGTGGCGGTTAGGGAACCACGGCGACAGCGTCTCTAAGGGATACGCGGAAGTCAAGAAAACCCTGTCCCCCTTCCCTGCTACCTTCGCCATCAGCCCCGTGGCAAACCGTCTTTTGTGTCGATTGCTCGCCACAACCTTCGACGATGCTTTAAAAGTCAACAGTAGCGTATAGGAAGAGGCTGGAGTTTCTAAGGAGAGAACCCAAGGGGAACCACGTGATTCCCCAGAGCACGTCACTCGAAAGGCGAAGTGGAGAGTTGAGAGGCACTTTGACCTTCGGTTTGTTTCATTTTCTTTTTCTGTATAAAAACTAGCGCTCACAAGAAAATATTGTTTTCTGTTCTTTGTTTCATGAGTGACACATTGATTTTCACAGTCAATTGGCAGAATTTCGAAAATCGTTGCACCTCCCCTTTCAACTGTGCTTATTTATTCTAAATTAATGCTTCAAAATAGCGAGACTGCTTAATCCTACAATTTGTTGGGTGCTGGCATTGGTTTCACCAAAGAATGTGTTTTGCATAAATACGCTGATCAAGCTGGTAACAATCTGTGTTGAAATGACATGCGAAATTAATATCTTCACTTTGGTTTTCATGCTGAATGCAATTTAAGATTTACTAGGCAAACACGTACACAGCTCCAGGATGCTCTGACATGCGAAGTTCGTTTGCCCTTTAACGATGAACTATATTGATGTTGTGGCACCAGACGCAGTGGTGTAAGGGCAGTTTTGAGCACGCCGTCGTGGTCAATCCACTTCCACGTGGCACTACAAGTTCCAGCACGTTCGTGCTCAGGGCAGGATGCGCGAAAGCTGCTCAGCAATCTTCTATCACAAGGCTTTTATTGATGCAATTTCATGATCTAAGAGACGCGCTGCGCGTCCCACTGGCTCGCAGCCAGCTTCTATCACCAGTATAAAAGATCTTGCCATCACCTGGCCATCACCTGGCCATCGCCGATGTTTTGCGCCATCAGGATCAATTACACTCACTGCGGCCGCTGTGAGGACTTTGGTTTGCCCTGAAAAAAAAAATGGTCACTCGGCGTTCGTTTCCAGCGCAGTAGAATCCAGAATAGAGTGGCCGTGCTTAGCAGCTCTAAAATTCTTTGGCGTTTGTATTTTTCCTCAAACTGACATATGAAATATATTTTCCTGGTTTTAAGCATACACTCATTAACTCACTGCGACCGTCAACTGATTTAATTTTACGTTGTTCCAAACTTTCCTCCATAGGCAGGGGTAGGAGTACCAAACTGCACAATGTGCTGTGCTTGTAGACTTAACGATGGAAATATTCAGTATAATGCAACAAGTCTTCCATACCAATTTCCATGCGGCCCTCACAAGGTAAACAACTATTTTCTTGTTTTCTTTTCACTTTGTTTTACGTTTTTTATGGTTTTCGCTGTGAACAATAATTCAACTTCGAAGCACATTAAATCCGTGACAGTTCTTGGTGAATAATTTTAACCTTCATTGGCTGTTTTAAAAATATGCCTACGCTATCCTCAAGTCGTTTTGTTATTTTTCGAAAATATGTTGATATATAATAAATATTTCAATCACCATCTTCAGAAAAGGGATTGTAGACTGACGAGCCTGTTGGTAGAGTTGAGGAACACCAAATAAATTTAAGACAGGTGGCACCTGTCTCTTATTCTTTCGGTGTTCCTTAGAATAACGGACTACATCTACGTTAAAATATGCTATAATATATAGATAATAAACGAATAAAAAATCTGAAAATCATGAACATAAAGCGAAATTGTTCAAATTATCTGAATAAAATAAACTTAATAAAACTGCTCCTTAAAACACATTAAAAAAGTGCTTTTAGGTTTATTAATATCGTTGATGAATCCAGCGAGGCACCATATAGGATTCTTTTCACGCGTTCAATATAAGTTTTGTCCTATTAAAATGTTCCTCATAGAGATCCTTACACATTTTAACAAATAAAATTTAGTTACTTTTTACCGATGAGGAATCTATAATATACGCTAAAGTTCATCTGACATTCGAGTCACAGTTTGACCGAAATGAGTAGAACGAGGCGCAAGTGGATAGAGTAGAGTGCTTCTGGTTGTTTTAAGATAACCGTAACGCATAAAGTGAATTACATCATCTACACCGATTGCAGAGAGATAAAAAAGTGACTAAATTAAATGAGCTGACCATATATAATGCACATGTGTTTTATTTTAATTGAACATAAATATTATTGTGTGAATGAATAAAAAAATATTCAGACTAATACTTTTACAAAGATTCGAGGATAATATTTAGATAATTTTCAATGGGCTACTCATTGGTAAATTATTGCGCAATAGATAGGCATGTGATTAAATTTGTACGTTTGCCATTTTAAAAGTTTCATTGTAATTAATTGGACACTGTGAACCGAAGCGTTTTATAAAAAAAAATTTGTATATCGATTCCCCGTAGACTTTTCGTTTTGTCTAATAAAGCAGCTTTTTGAAGTCTTGTGCGTGTCCAAAAACAGCCACTGTTGGTTGTATACCTATGTTTCAGTCACATAGACATGTATTGAACTTCTATTTAATGAGAACGTACTTTTAATTTGAAACTGATCAGTATTTAGAAGGTAGCCGTTCCGCGTGACAATAGTATGGAGGCCTCAAGGTGTGTACTTCACGTTCTTTGGACAATTTTACCGTGAGCTCATATATTTTAGCGCATTAGTATTACAGTCCTACAAACCTGACGCAAAAAATGTTAAGGCGTTATGCGATCAGAGTGAAGTCCGAAATTAAAACATTTTCAAAACGTTTTCGCGTGACGGACATGCCTATCGAAAACATTTTGTATGTATTTGTTAGGTATTGTCACCGGGCCAGAGGAAACTGTTGCAGAATACTAATCCACAAATATAAACAACATATTCACTAAATCCATATGGTTCAAGCAAATCTTGCTTATGCGTACAAAAAATAATAAATTGTGTTTTTCTTCCAGAAATGCAATCTCAAGGGAGAGTGCGCCGTCAGCAATTAACCCTGAAAGCAGCAAGCTAAAGGTTGAATGCTTCAACAGTAGAGCCGACTATAAATAACATTGAAGACTCTGGTCAGTTATGGGCACTGTCTACTTAAGGAACGCGCCGCATCGATTTTATATCCATCCTTTTTGCTTCGTGACTTCTTTGGCGTTCGTATTAGCCAATGCCTGGATCGCACTGACCGCTGACCGGTAATCTTAGATTCAAGACACACAACGCAGCTCGCCTCTTAAGCCGTTAGTCTATATGTTTCACACTGGGAAAAAATCGTGTCCTGGAAATAAACCCATTCAGTGTAGTTGAAATAAACCCCAATGTTCATAATTATGCCGTAAAGCACATTTATGAATTACCCAATAAAGATTACAGCACTGTTGAGCACTATCTAAAAACGCAAAAGATAACTTTTTTCTACTTGAAGTTAGAATGTTCTACTGAAAATTTGCACGTCGTTCATATTAAAGCTTTAGGATTAGACGCGTCTTTGCAAAATGCACACTGTTATTTCGTATCTCTCAAAAGGAAATATAGACGAAGTCAGATTTCAGCGTTTGTGGATTCCCCCTTTGAGGGGTACCACTTAGAAACACAAAAGGTTCCTTGGGTCCGGATAAAGACGTGTTTATTGACTGAAATGCCAACACGCTTCGCTCTTAGACAAGAAAAGTCTGGGCGCTGGCTCAATTGCCAGTATCACCCGGTCGGTTTCCCGCGCTGCCGCATTAGACAGATTCACGGAAAGTCGGAAACCCACAAAGAAAAACCGAGCTCCGTAGAGCCAGGGCCTCTGCCGACGAGAGCCCCTGGCCCACCTTCGGGGCCAGCTTATGTAGCCTCGGAGAATGGACGCGCCCGGAGAGGCCGCTAGCAGTGTGTGCCGACGGCGCATTCACCCAAATGGGCAAGGGAGAACCGGCCCCTTCGGGGAATTTGGCCTCGCGGTTCCTTGTATCCGGGAGGCCGACGCCATTGGTGACGACGACTCCCACGGCCTGCTTGAAGCTAGGCATAGATAGGGATAGAGGGAACCCCGTGGTTCCCACACGTTTGACATGCTAAACCAACGGAGGGCGTCTTTGACTCCCAAGCGGAGGACCAAGGATGAATTTAGAGAACCTGGGTATTTTTCGAAGCGCAACCGAAATGTTAGTTACCTTCTCCGCCATAATGGGAAATCGATAGTTTAATACCATAGCGGTTCAGTCTACATAATCGCGCCTTTATTCCCTACATTTTATTTTTTCACTGAAATTTAGAGGAGCAGCATTAAGCAATAAAAAAGTAAATGTAATAAAATTGTTTTGCATTTATATTGTGTAAAATGTTTGTAATACAGGTTTGACTTACTGACATTCCAGCACTTCGAAGAAACTCTCTCTCAGATGTCAGAAGGTCTCCAAAGGGATAATGCAGAAATATTTTCCTGAGACAGTGGCAACTTAAAAAATGCAAAGCGTGGCTTTTAATCTTCCTGCTTGTTGGTTTGTGACTCTTTTTTTTTGTTGTTGTTGTTCCCATCGGCTTATTCAATAATCTCATATGATATTTTCCCTCGTTCGCCCTGTTCGCCTTGCGCAGGCTGTGACGGCGTTAGCTGTCGGCAGACTAGTTTCTGTTTCCTTTTTTGTGCAACTTTTCCGTAGGAATTGTGAATTATTATCTGCGGCCTTATTGAGGTGCAGTCTGTAGACGCAGACGAAGTTTCCACCAACATTCCAAGCATGGTTTGCAGGGCAGGCAGCACATGAATCCCAGCTGGTATATGAAAAGGAAGAAATGTTGGCACACTTGCAGGGGCAACGGAATATATTTGCATCTCACACAATCAATGATGATGTTGACCGGAATAAATTAACAGGTTTTTTTAATCTTTGTTTCTAAATAAACACGCCTCAGCAAAAAAGCGCATGCTGCTGGAGCAACAAGTTAAATATTTTCTAAGGCTTGGAGAAAGATTCACAAGTGAGACCGCCCAAAGACCTTTGACATAAACGTCATTTGTATGCCCGCAAAGCGGGGTGTAACGTTCTCCTAACTAATGAGCATGAAAGGACAGAATTTCAGTGTCTGAAACACTTTGGCCACCGCTTCTCCGACCCCTCGCGCGATCGCCTCGTGTCGTGTGGAGGGGGCGGAGAGTTTCATCGACGGAACTGCCTCCGCCGATAGCTTTCGGTACTTATAACATAGTTATAAAGGTAAACGTGACAAACACGTTTACAAAAAGGTACAAAAAACAGTAGGGCTGGGTGTCGATTAAGCATTTTAACCCAATTAATCGCCAGCCTTTAATCGATTAATTAATCAATTAATCGGTTGCGTTGATTTTTTACAAATAATATATTTAAAAGAATGCAACAACTCGTCTTGCCTTTGAACACTTATTTTAGTGTATGTTATACGGCGCAGATGACATTTACAATCGAGGATACATATAGCTCAACGATTCAAAGACATATTTTTGCTCCAGCTCCGAAGGCAAAGAGGTTTGTCCGCATTCTCCGACAGAAAGACAAGAAGTCAGGGCTTGGGCCATGCTTTCTTCTTTCTTCAGGGAAAGGCGCCTCGACGAGCAGGCGTTGATTGTTATCTGCGTTTTGGCGGATAGTCCTTGCTGCAGCAGCGTGCAGGGATGCTTCGCTCGTAGGCGATACTGAAGCGAGCGTACGCTTCCACTGTATGAAAACGGCTTTTTCCAGATGATGCAGTGGACTTGCTTCAAGTGAAAACTTCACCGCTGGAGGTTACTTTAAACCCCAACTTTCCAGCGAGATTGTCTTTCATACTCGTGAACTCGTCCATTTGTACGAGCCATCCCTTTTAAACAACTATCATCACGTTCATTTTGATCTGTACACTTGCAGACACAGTGAGCTACGCGCAATGTACGAAACATGAGAAGACACACATATATATGTCTATATGTATGTATGTGTGTGTATGTATGTATGTATAATATATGTTTGTGTATTTGTATGTATGTGTATGCATGTGTGTACGTGTGTGTGTATCTGTATATATATATATATATCTATGTATATGTGTATGTATATCTATATATTCTGTGTTGAAGCATCTTAGAATATTTTGGGTAGTTTTCCCTTTATTGTGTACAACTTCCCGATTTCTTTTATAGGCAGGTGTTATTCTTGCTTGATGCATTGCTGATAGTTGTCTGTTGGTCATTGTTATGATAAAAGTACCTTGTATTTTTATATAATTTCTCGTGCTCTTTTTAAATGTCTTTGTCGCCACTGTGTGTACCTGAGGGGGGCCGAGGACCAGTCAAGCTGCTTGGACAGCTTTTTTCCACAGCCCCCACCATGCTTATACATGGTAAATAAAGCTATTATTATTATTATTATATCATTAATACTGGAACAAGTAACCATGGCGTTGTCAGCTTTTTAGCATGTTTTTCTGCTTGTTTGTCTTTTCTGGGCAGGATGTGTAATAGATCCTCAACAAGTGAAGTTTCGCGGTTGTAAAGGGATCAATCGCGGGCCCGGCTTGTTCGTCTGGCATCGATAGAACTGTAATGTATATCTTCGAACACGTGACGCTTCGCGAGCGCAAGAATTGAATCTTGCTCATACTCATAGCATCTGGCTGGGAACAGATAACCGCTCAGGACATAACGACCAGATACACGCCACGCAGTGTTTTCCTTAAGTGGCATGAGTCCCCCCTAGTTCGAGCAGGTCGTCCAAGATAGTGCCATGCGTGCGTCTAGTTGACTTCTTTTTGAGTGCCGATTAAAAAAAACGAGTAACCGGTTAAAAAAATATGATCGCGATTAAAGCCTTAATCGATTAATCGGAAGGTTAATTTATCAATTGCCCAGCCTTAAAAAACACACGTCGGTATCGTTCTCGTCCAGCATCTTATGCACCGGGTAAACGAAGTCCCGCTTCTCAAAGTTCTTACAGCACACAATGGCCGACGTTGAAGGTGACTTTCCAGTCCCTTGTGTGGCTGTCCATGCTTTCTTTAATCTCGACGTCTTCGGGTGGTAAAATATGATACCGGCTTCTTTTGAGGAATCGCATTGCGACACTGAACAGCATGTAAGCCTGATCCCAAACCTACGGTCCTGAGGAAACGGGCACAGGGAAACGATCCGGATGCCAGAACGCGTACCGGAGTGCTTCGCCTGATGTCGCGGTACACCTCACCCAGTCAAGACGCGGCAATCACAGCAACGCTTGAGTACGCTCTCGGGGCGCATACGCCTCGCCGCAATTGACCTGACTTTCGTGTTCTGCGCATTAAAAAGGAGACGCGAGAACGGAAGAGGAGGTTGATGACGATTTCGACTAAGCTCCGCCCTTGCACCTGCCGGGAGGGAAGCTCGGGGTAAAAAAACATTAGCGTCGGTAATGGCGGCAGTACCGTAGCGGCGACCGTGAGTCCTTTGTTTATTGTAGCCCTGTTAAAATTTGCCGAGCTCACAAGATCGAGCAGCTTCGTGCCCCTTACGATTCCTCCGTCGTCTGCTTGAGGCATTTCGAAGATTCCAAGATAAAGACGAACAAACTTCACAAGATGGCGCTTCACCACCCTCCCGGTGGAAACACCCGTCGCTACGAGGCAGCCATCCGATTGTGAGGCTGAGCTGCCTTTTACCTTGTGCTTCCTTTACAAACACAGAGCCTTTTGCCTTCTCTCAAATCGTTGTAAATATTGCGTCACGGAGTCGATTGGCTATTATTTGAAAAACAGCTGTGAAGGTAGCGTTTTCGCGATCCTCCGAACCCCATCTTCGCAGGTTATATTGCCGCGGGCGCAGCTGGCCAAGTAGGCAGTACGCCCATGTCCTAGCGGGTTATCTTTGTTGGTTCTCACGAAAAGAGCCGAGGTTCGATTCCTGGTTGCGGATGTCCCTTTGTTTCGCCCCAGCACCCGATCCTGCTGTTTCGCCGACATCGACGCCTGCGACGCTAGCCTAATTGTCCTTTGCTTTGGGCGTAAGTTCGCCCCATTAGATGTTCAGTTT